GTCCGCAGCCACCACCGCCGCCGCAGCTCCCAAGGCAAAGCCGGTCCCTCCTCAGTCGAAGGGAGCGGCAGAAAGCCCCGCGGGCCAAGGGCGAGGCGTGGGCGGCTGCGGGTGGCCCGGTCCTTGGAGAGCGAGCGAGCGCGTAAGAGCCGAGAGGGAGGGAGAGAGAGAGAGAGAGGGAGAGAGTGAATGAGAGAAAGAAGGAAGGAGAGGGAGGGAGGGAGGGAGGGAAAGAAGGAGAGAGAGAGAGAGGGATCCGAGGCGGCGGCGAGCGCAGCGATCCCTCGATCTTCGCGAGGGGAAGTGAGGGAGAAAGGCGGGAGACTCACGGAAGGGAGTTCAGCCGAGGAGCACCCCTCTCGCGCCCCCCTCCAATGACTAGATAACATAATAAGGCTTTTTAAAAAAAAAAAAAAAAAAAAGTACAGGTAGTCCTCAACTTACAACACTTCGTTTAGTGACCGTTCGACGTGATAACAGCACTAAAAAAAACACACCACCACCGTTTTTCACACCAGTTGCAGCATCCCCAGGGCCACATGATCCAAATTCGGAAAGTTGGCAATTGACTCCTATTTAGCACCCTTGCAGTGTCCCGGGGTCACTGTCTCACATTTATGACGGCTGCATAAATGTGAGGGGTCACTTTTTGCTACCTTCCTGGCGAGCCAAGTCAATGGGGAAGCCAGATTCACTTTAACGGGCCGTCTTACGGCCTGAACCATTGTGGCAAGAGAGATTGCAAAATGGGGCTAAATTCACTTAACAACTACCTCGTTGTTAGCCACAGAAATGTGGGGCTCGGTTGTGGTCGTAAGTCGAGGAGCACCTAAACAAAATCTTTAAAATGACTCAATAAATCAGGAGTCCCCAAACTTGGCCAACTTTAAGACTTGTGGACTTCAACTCCCAGAATTCTCCAGCCACCATAGCTGGAGCATAGCTAGCTGGAGAATACTGGGAGTTGAAGTCCACAAGTCTTAAAGTTGGCCAAGTTTGGAGACCTCTGCAATAAATGGATGCCCCTTAACAGATCATTCAAGAGCAGTAAATCAAAGCAGCTAACGGGTCATTTCTGAATCTGCAGGGCTAACACACACGCATTAATCATGACATTCAGTGTGCAGTAAGAAAAAGCATGGGAAAATGCATTAAGATTGTTATAATGATAAGATGTATAAGGTTGAGAGTAGTTTTTAATATGAATGTAAATCATAGCAAGAAATGTATATTAATTATAAATATTTGCACAAGATATATGTACCCAGTTGACACGCTGTTTAATTGAAAGATGGATTTGTTGTAAAATAAAATAAAAAATGTTTAAAAAAAGAAAAAATCATGGGGTGGGGGAGTTTTAAGGGATTCTACTGCTCCCCCATTTTAAGCACTTTAAAAAAAAATTTTTCCCATTATTTTAAAGCCACTGCCTTCCGTGCTATCTGTGTATGCACGATAACTAATATTTTATTTCTAATGCTCCCGCCGCTATGGACAGGGCCCCAATACATTAAAAATAAAATAAAATACAGGTAATCCTCGACTTACAATAGTTCATTTAGTGACCGCTCAAAGTTACAACAGAACTGACACAAGCAACATGACTGTTTTTCATACTTTAGGACCATTTTCCCATGGTCACTTGATCAAAAGTCAAAACAATTGGCAACGGGTTCATATCTATGACGGTGGCAGCATCCCAGGCTCATGGGATTATCTTTTTGTGACCTTCTGACAAGCGAAGTCAATGGGGAAGCCAGATTTCACTTAACAACTGAACAACGACAGTGATTCACTTAACAACGGCGCCAAGAAAGGTCGTAAAATGGGACAAAATTCACTTAACAATAGTCTCGCTTAGCAACAGAAATTTTTAGGCTCGATTGTGGTTGTAAGTCGAGGATTACCTGTGAAAACCAAAGATCAGGTAGCAATTAAAAGTTACCTGAAAAGGATACAATCAATATCTACCACGATACTTTTACAATTGCAATGAAAACAACAAGGTGTGGATATGAATATCTAGATCTACTTTCTCTTTACTGATAAACAGAGAAACAATGCCAACATATTTGCAATCCAATGCTTGCCACAAACTTGTTGACAAAACACAGGTAGTCCTTGACTTATGACCAGCATTGAGGCCCAGGTTTACCTTGCCAAGTGAGACATCTGTTCAGGGAATTGTACCCCATTTTTATGACTTTTCTGGCTGCTGTTTGTTAAGTGAATCACTGTACTTGTTAAGTTAATAAGCTGGTTGTTAAGTGAATCTGGCTTCCCCATTGACTTTGCTGGTTGGAAGATCCACAAATTGGGGATCACTTGAAAGGGGGAGGGGTCAAGTGATCCCCAATTTGCAGATCTTCCAGCCAGCAAAGGGGCGTGGCAGGACACTGTGACCGTCATAACCATGAGTCGGGTGTCAAGCATCTGAATGTTGATCAAGTAACCATGGGGAAGCTACGACGGTCATAAGTGTGAAGAATAGCAATAGCACTTAGACTTATGCACCACTTCATAGTGCTTTACAGCCCTCTCTAAAATGGTTTACAAAGTCTGCATATTGCCCCCAACAATCTGGGCCCTCATTTTACCTCAGAAGGATGGAAGACTGAGTCAACCTTGAGCCGCTAAGAATTGACCTCCTGGCAGTGGGCAGAGTCAGCGTGCAATACTGCATTCTGACCACTGCACCACCCCGGCTCTTAAAAATAGCAATAGCACTTAGACTTCTATACCGCTTTACAGTGCTTCACAGCCCTCTCTAAGCGCTTTACAGAGTCAGCATAGTATTGCCCCCAGCAATCTGGTTATAAGTAGCTTTTTTCAGTGCCATTGTAACTTCGAACAGTTATAAGTTGAGGACTATCTGTAATGTGCAGCTTTAGTGGTGCCCTTGCCAGATTCTTAAACTCTGTCGACAAACCCCCAGATATAAAGAAATGGAAACAAATGTGGCTGGGCATGCGAGGCCTGCCACGGTGCTGAAGCCAACCTCGCACCCTCCTTTTGAGATTTTTATTGATTTACTTATTTACTTATTTAGTCAAGCATGTATTAGATAACAGATATAAGTATAAACATGATTATTAATACATGAAATGGATACGAATAAAAAGGGAACATTAGGACAGGGACGGTAGGCACGTTGGTGCGCTTATGCACGTCCCTTACAGATCTCTTAGGAAAGGGGTGAAGTCAATAGTAGACAGTCTAAGGTTAAAGTTTTTGGGGTTTGGGGAAGAAACTACAGAGTCGTGTAGAGTATTCCAGACATTGACCACTCTGTTGCTGAAGTCGTATTTCCTGCAATCAAGTTTGGTGCGGTTAACCTTGAGTTTGTATCCATAGTTTGCTCTTGTGTTGTTATGGTTGAAGCTGAAGTATTCATTGACAGGTAAGTCATTGCAATAGATAATATTATGTACTATGCTTAGATCAGACCGAAGGCGGCATAGTTCTAAGTTGTCTAAGCCTAAAATTTCAAGTCTGTTGGCATAAGGTTTTCTGTTGCGAGTAGAGGAGTGGAGGACTCTTCCCGTGAAATATCCCTGGAGTCTCTCGATTGTATTAATGTCCTATATGCAATGTGGGCTCCAGACAGATGAGCTGTATTCGAGAATTGGTCTAGCAAATGTTTTGTATGCTCTAGTTAGCAGTACAATATTACCGGAGAAAAAGCTACACAGGATTAAGTTAACAACTCTTAATGCCTTTTTGGCTATGTAGTTACAGTGGGCTCTAGATGTCACCTGCAGGAACTCTCAGGGGTACCTGCCTGTTCCAGACCTACCTGTGCTACCTGGGGTGCTCCTTTCCTCCTGTGTGTTTTGAATGCTGGAAAGAGGGAGGGACTGAAGGAAAAGAACAGATCTCTTAACGTTCTGCCTCTTGTGCCCGTCTCCAAAACACACATTTCCATCTACTGGGAAAATACAGCACAGGGTAGAAGCTGGAAATTTACCAAGCTGAGTTAAAGATTAGTGTAAGAGCTGCTTGCATGCAAAATTTAACCTGCCCAAGGACAGTTTAAAATGGTGTATAACAGAATAACAGAGTTGGAAGGGACCTTGGAGGTCTTCTAGTCCAACCCCGTTCCAGCAGGAAACTCTGCCTGCAAAGTGGGGTACGCACTTACCAGGGGTGCACAAGATGACCCACTGGGACGTGGGGGGAAACATTAGACTATCTGCTTCTATTTATCAGGGGTGCAAAAATACACAAGAAATCGGTGAGGTTGCTAAGAGCTGACGCAAGTTATACAGAATGCACATAATGTCATACTGTATCTATGGGAGCATGCTTTAGATTAAAAATAAATAAGAATTTAAGCTAGATTAATATTTAATGCGCAAAATATACAAAACGTAATGGATTGGAACTGTTTTATAATGCAAATGATATTAATGTAGCAATAGACATGTATAATAATTTATAAATAACAGAATAACAAGAGTTGGCAGGGATCCCGGAGCTCTTCTAATCCAAACCCTATATTATTTTCCACAAATGATTGTCCAGACCTTTCTTAAAAGCTACCAGTGTTCGAACACCCACAACTTCTAAAGGCAAGTTGTTCGACTGGTTGATTTTTCATACTGACAGGGAATTTCTCCTTAGGTTGCTTCTCTCCTTCCTTAGTTTCCAAACATTGCTTCAAGTCCTGACTTCAGGTGTGTTGGAGAATATGTTGACTCCCTCTTCTTTGTGGCAGCCCCTCAAATATTGGAACACTGCTATCCTGTCACCCCCCTAGTCCTTCTTTTCACTTATTTAGTAGGAAGAAATGAACAAGCGTGCATTGTGGAAGGCACGCTGAAAATAGCTTTACTGATAAAGGCATTGGATCATCGGAGGAAAACGTTGTGAGTTAATCTTAACAATTACTGATAATAACCCTCTTTTGTGAGTGAAAACCCTTTCAAGGTAGCTTGGCAAAAAAACAAAAAACAACAACACCTTATCGTAAAAGGGAGATATCCATTGAAGCCACTCACCTTTGAGGAAGCTTGGCATACGGAGTTGATAGCCGTGAAGTCTTCGGTTCCCTCCAGGAAGAGAAGCAAAAAATAAAAAAAATAAAAATATGTCAGGACACTGGGACTGTTTCATGCAAATGGTACAGAGAGAGAGAAAGAGAGAGAGGCGAACTCCCCAACTGAAGGGAGTAACACCTGACTCAGGATGTGACGTGTGACAGGGGTGTGAGAGACAGAGGAGTATAGCCCGAGGCGGTCACATCCCCGCTTGTGTGGAATAAACACAACGGGAGTGGGGAAAGGAAAGGTCACACGCATTCGCCTTCAAGCCCTCCGGGGAAAAGTGCAAGAGAGGCTTTACTCTCTCTCTGCCAGAGAGTTTTTGAACACTCACATTTTCCAGTCTCTCGGGTGGCAAAAAAACAACAACAAGAGGAATGCCACAAAATTCAGTGGGGAAAGGGTGGTGGGTGGGTGGGTTTGTTATGGGCGGGCTTGCTATGTGCAACGTCCAGGCTGCCCACCGCTTCAAACTGTTCATGTTAGGAAGGCTGAACACGAAAGAATTTCCTCAGGAGCGCCTGTGTGAATCACAACCGACAGGCTGGTGTTATGCTGCCGAGCATCTGGCGTAAGGGGGGGGGGGGGGGGGAGTTTAGTTTAATTTACAATAGTTTATAAACTAAAGTTTATATGCCACCCTTGGCTAGGGGAGCGCCACACGTAGCTTACAGGTTCTCCTCGACGGTTCGTATAGTGACCATTCAAACCTTACAACGGCACTGAAAAAAAGTGACTTATGAGTGTGTTACATACTTAATGACCGTCGCAGCAAATCCCCACAAGTCACGGGATCAAAATTCAGAGGCTTGGCAAGTGATTTATACAGGTAGTCCTCAACCTTTCATTTAGTGACGGTTCAAAATTATAATGGCGCTGAATGCATTAT